GGGTTTTATTTGTTTAGTTTATTTTGTTTTTCTCTTGGCCTAATTGCACACATATATCTGCTTTTATTTTAAGGATAGTATGTCCCTCAGACATATATTATACACATATTTTTATCTCCTTTAGCATATATTTAATAGTATTAAATAGGTATACAAACTTTTAAATCTATATTAAATATATAGAGAGATATATGTTGTGTATATGTATATGTATGTGTGTATGTGTATGATGTATATGTACTTACACACAGATATATATATCCAAACTTTTAACCTCTCTTATATTTCTATTATTTTGATAAATTTTCTTAAGTTTCTTCTTCCTGTGTTTGCCACAAATCTCTTTTTATGCTCCTTGTAATGTAACTATCAGTGGTTTTATTATCTTCTTTAAGCTCATTTCTCCATTCCTTGAGTTCTTTCTTATGGAGGTTGTATTGTCTATTTGATTGATCGATAACTGTTACTTGCTTTGGATATGTATTCTTAAGTTTGAAGTATTTCTTTTCTCCTTATTCATTAATATAGTCACAGATTTCTCCTTCTCTTCCTTTACCTCCTTCTTAAGTATTTATCTTAATTGGGTGTGATGGAGAACTCTTTATTGATTGGTATAGGCAGTTTGAAGTGTGATCTCCTAATTCTACCTTTCCCTCATTTACCTGAAGTAGTGAGCTTGTTCTAGACTAACAGAGAGACTTTCTGGTACATAATGATGTCAAGCATGTCTAATTTTGGATATGACCCTTCAAATCAGTAGCATAGATCGATGTAGTTTCTGTCCCACCTTACTTTACCAAGAGCTTATTCTATAAAAATGGTATATCAGGATACTAAATAAAATTTACTTCAGCTTTGGGAGGGTGATATTGTCATTCCAAGCAACAGGACATTGGGTTCACAACTCAGTTGTACCCCCACAACCACCACCACCACCATATTTTGGAAAATCCATTCTCTCCACTGTGCCTCTCCCGCAGTGTTATCCATTATAGGGTTATGGATATATTAAATTCTTGTTTTCTTGGATACTTTAGGGTGATTTCAGAATGAGTAAAGGGACAAAGATCCTTTACTTCAAAATATATAACTAGAGGTTAGTTGGAAGTATGCATATGAATTGACAGGTTAGTTTGCAGTATTTGAGCATATGAATTTGACATTAAAAACTATGTTAAATTTTTATATGTAAATTTGACGAGCCATCTTGTTCCAAAATACCATATTTTATTAAATATTTAATTGACGTTTAATTGACGTTTTAGTTTATTGCTTTATTCCTTTCAAAATTTAACATACTGACTTCCTTTTGCTTTTCAGATGCAGCAACTGTTCCATGAAAATTATGAGCACAATCGAAAGGGTTATATTCAAGACCTTCACAATAGCAAAATCCACGCAGCCATCACACTTCATCCCAACAAAAGGCCCGCCTACCAATACAGGCTTCATAATTACATGCTGAGCCGCAAAATTTCCGAACTTCGCTACCGCACGATCCAGCTCCACCGCGAGAGGGCGCTGATGAGCAAGCTCAGCGACAGTGAAGTGAGCAAAGAGGATCAGCAGCTGGGGGTGATGCCTTCCTTCAACCACTTCCAGCCTCGGGAGAGGGATGAGGTGATAGAATGGGAGTTCCTGACAGGAAAGCTCCTTTACTCAGCGTCGGAGAACCAGCCTCCTCGACAGAGCATCAGCAGCATCCTCAGAACAGCACTGGATGACACCGTCCTACAGGTGATGGAGATGATCAATGAGAATGCCAAGAGTAGGGGTCGCGTCATTGACTTCAAGGAAATCCAGTATGGCTACCGCAGGGTTGATCCTATGCATGGCGTGGAGTACATTTTGGATTTACTCCTCTTATACAAAAGACACAAGGGGAGAAAACTGACCGTGCCAGTGAGACGCCACGCCTACCTTCAGCAGCTGTTCAGCAAGCCTTTCTTCAGGGAAACTGAAGAGCTAGATGTCACCAGTCTTGTGGAGAGTATTAACCGCGACACTCAGTCATTTTCCTTCATTTCTAACTCTTTAAAGATATTATCCTCTTTTCAAGGTGTCAAAGAAGTGGGAGGCCACAATGAAAAGAAAATACACATTCTTGTCCCTCTCGTTGGAAGGTACGACATTTTCTTGAGGTTCATGGAGAGCTTTGAAAGTACTTGTCTGATCCCAAAGCGGAACGTAAAGCTGGTCATCATCCTTTTCAGTGGGGATTCCGGCCCAGATTCCAGCAAGCATATTGAGCTGATAAAAGACTATCAGAACAAGTACCCGAGAGCAGAAATGACCCTGATCCCCATGAAGGGAGAGTTTTCCAGAGGCCTGGGTCTTGAAATGGCTTCTTCCCAGTTTGACAATGATACTTTGCTGCTATTCTGTGATGTTGACTTGATCTTCAGAGGAGACTTTCTCCAACGATGTAGAGACAATACAATTCAGGGACAACAGGTATACTACCCCATCATCTTTAGCCAGTATGATCCAAAGGTAACCCATGGGGGAAAGCCTCCCAGTGATGATGACTTTGTCTTCTCAAAGAAGACTGGATTTTGGAGAGACTATGGATATGGAATCACCTGTATTTATAAAAGTGATCTTCTGGGTGCAGGTGGATTTGATACCTCAATACAGGGCTGGGGACTGGAAGATGTAGATCTCTACAATAAAGTTATTCTCTCTGGCTTAAGGCCCTTCAGAAGTCAAGAAGTAGGAGTGGTGCATATTTTCCACCCAGTTCATTGTGACCCTAACTTGGACCCGAAGCAGTATAAGATGTGCTTAGGATCCAAGGCAAGCACTTTTGCCTCAACCATGCAACTGGCTGAACTCTGGTTGGAAAAACATTTGGGTGTCAGGTACAATCGAACTCTCTCCTGACAGTCCAGGCAACACATATTGCCTTTTTTAAAGGGGAGTTTACCTCATTGTTGGTGGTGTTATTTTTATTTTTATGATTGTTATTTTTATTATTATAATTATTATTGTCATAATTTTATTTTGTTGTCCTGGTCTTAAACAACTCTTGGTTGTCTTCCAAAGGGTGTTTGTTGACCTCAAGCAAGAAGAGTCTGCAATTCACTGATTTTTCAGATTTCTACTGAAGTCAATACGTATTACTTTTATATATCTTTATCTGGGATTGAGTTAAATTGTGGCAATCAAATGACTTTTGAAGTTCATTCATCATGAGAGACAGCTTAGAAGAATGTTCACTTGGGGCTTACAGATGCAATATCAACTTTTATTTTGTGTGTCAAATTCAATGTGATACAAATATTTACTGGTGAAAGGTACCACAAAAGTGCTTTATGCTTCCTATGGGGAAGGGACTCTGTAACATAAACTTGAGTTTTGTAATTTATACAAGGACTTAAATATATATATACAATAATTTTCTTCATCTTTAGAATTTTTAAAGTAAATGAACACTTATGATTGTATGTTTATTTTTTAAAAAGAAGTTTTAAAAATTGAGGAGTTTTGTTCCACAAGCAACCGGTACTGGCTACCCTGGTCTTAAGAAAATTATATACTCCTCTCAACTGTCTGCTATAAATGCGAATGAACTTTATTTTCTCAAGGAAATATGATTTAATTAAATATTCATGTACATTTTAGAAGCTTTATGAAACAATGTCTTTCATTTGCTGGCAAGAAGATAAAAATGACAGAACCTGGTTATTTATAATAAAACACAGGTATAACAGTATTCTTTTTCAAAAACACTGAAAAAAGTTGTGTTGTTTTCTTTTAGTCTTAGTCAATGTATTTCTTATAGTCACCAAAATGTGCTTGCTACACAGTCTGGAAAAGTTAATAAGAAAGTATGGGCATGCTATTTGTACGATTATGCTTTAAATCTGGCCTTCGTAAGTGATTAAAATGAGCACTTTCTTTGTTCAATCATTTTCAGTCCGGGAGAAGCATTCCTTCCCAACCTCTTCAGCTTGGTTATCAACCTGAAACCACAGGAAGCAAAACTCCAAATAAAGGGGTGACTATTGTAAGAGCAGCCCCCTTGTAGAGATATCCCTAGGGTAAGGCACACTGGGTTCCGATGACTTTGGAGGACAAAGAAGCAGTGACTGAGAAAGCAGCAGGTGGTAGGGAAACAAAGGTAGCCGGCTACATAATGTAAGGTATACTGGTGCCTTCATTCTACCATGTAAAACTCATCACCGTGGCCAAGATAGGGCTACCGATGTCAACTGGTTATTTGAGACTCATATTGATATATTTTTCCTGCTTAAACAGATCTTCTCTTGGGTGGGAAGAGGTAAAGAGGAGAGACACAAAGTTTTTCTAGGTTCAAGTCTAGCTTGGGCTGTTTCTTCCAGGACAAGGCAGTCCTAGGTGAGGGCTCCCTGGGGCTGGTGGCTCTATAGCCTCTCACCCAGGCCAATACCAGCAGTTAGAAAACGGCTTCATCTTCTGGGCTTCCTCCTGGAAGAAGGAACTGCCCAGGGCCGATCTCAAAATACAACTATGAGGCTGCTGACTAGAGACGGGCTCCAGCTTTCTTATGTGAAAAACAGAGGAACTTGGTAATTTACCTTTCCAGTGAACATTTATTCTCTTGGTTGGACTACCAGTCCACATGTGGGTATTTCATTTCTGTGACTCCCCATCTATTCACTAGTCATAATGGTCTCCACTTTTAGATTTAGAACTATCTCAGCTCTAACAAAGTTGCTTTAGCCAATTCTGTATGGGTGAAGTGACATAAATAGTCAAGCAATTCCGCGGTGGTGTTCATTGTGGACAGCTTGTGCTGTCAGCTGGCTGAGACCATATAGAAGGGCTGCTACTGGCATCTGGAATTCTGAGCACTTTTTTTTTCCTTTGTTTGTCTTCCTTATGTTGAGTT